ATTATAATTTTCAGTTTAACACATAGGTCTATGATCTCTTTTGAGTTAATTTTTGAAAGTGGTGTAAGGTATAAACCAGGATAGTTTTGACTTGTGATTTTTCCTCCTGTGCAAGCAGCAGATCAATACAGTTTCTTATCTCTGATAAGCACGCGCACAGATGACATTGTAGCTGGTTGCAAAACCTGGTTAAGGTTCAAACACAGATGACCCGGGAAGCTCCGCCTCTCTCTGACTCCAGGGCTGCTTTTTGAGAAGTTAATTCTATCTTCATTATTGCTCTGCAGATGTTCAGTGATACCGGCCCAAGCCTGAGTCCTTTAGTGAAATGAGCTAGTTTCTCCCCAATTCCTAAGCACTCCAGGTAGTGAGTTGCTTCAGGAAACCATGTTCTCTCTTAAACCACTGAAGGAATCTTCTGTGCAAAGCAGGGCATTAAATCTTAGCAATTAGATAGAAATCTTAACTCTCTTAGCTTCTGCCCTTCTTGGGTGACTTTTTCAGTCACCAGGTGATCTTGTTTTCTCCTCTTTCCCTCAGTAACACGAGTTCTGAATGTTTCATTACAATCACTTAGGTCTTGGGATATGTTAAATGTCAGGAATAAAACTGGTGAAGAAAGAGGGTTAGGAAGCCAACAAGAATTGTCAACTTGTGATTCGGTCAATTGAGGACCTTTTAAGAAAGGCAACTACTATCTAGTGTTGCCATCACTCCATTAAACAAAGGGCATTTAAATTATCCAACCCTCCAAGAAAAGACAAAAATTGGAAGGACATCGTCTAAGAATAAAAAAGTCTCTCCAGAGAACCAACTGTTGGTAATTTCCTTGGAAGTAGGAAAGTATTCATGCATTTACTCCTTAGTTTTCTCATTTTGCTGCGGACTGGTGGAAACCTCCCCCTAAACCACCATTTGCGACTCAGACCATAAAAAGTCGTGACATGGGTGGGGTGGGGTAAAGCCTGAGGAATGTAGAGGAAAGTTTTTTTCCTCTCATTTACTTATAATCCATTTATTAGGTATTCCTAAGGTTCAAAGTCCTAGTCTTAGTATTTAGGTTGTCTGTCTGGGAAAATCATTTGCAGATTTAAAGGCAGGGGGAAGCTGAGTTGGTAACATTCTAGACCCTTCCTTTGGTGGGCGCTAGTAGTTTTTGTGTCTTTCTGGGCAAAAGAAAGGAGGGAAAGCTCACTCAGCTGCCCTTCCACTATTGACCCCTCCAAGGCATCTGCCTTCTCCTGGCATCTCATTCATTAAGACTGACCAAGGATAGTTTCGGGTAGATGAGTATTCTTGGGAAATGGATCAGCATCTCCCATGGAACTCAGGGTAAAGGCCCCATCCCAACTAAGTTACCCTGCCTCATCCCTAATCACCCACAGGGCTCCAGCCACAGCTGCTTGCCTTCATCTCCAAAGTACCATATCCCTTAATCTCTTCCCTTCTCTTTCAGGCAATCTTAACCTTTTCAGAGACAACCCCCGCCCCCACCAGCTACATCAACCCCCTCCCTCTCTCATTACCCTCTCACCTTATATGATCATCATAACTATAGTTAATTATTTGAATAAGGTCTGGCTTCTCAGCTAGAATGTAAACTCCCTAAGTTTAGGAATCAAGTTTATTTGTTAATCTGATCTTCCAGCCGCTGGCATGGGGTATGGCAGTTAGTTGCTGCTCAATGAATTATTGTTAAATGAAGACAATTCTCTTTAATGCCTGTTTACCAGGCACTGTTCTAGGTTCTTACATATAACAGTGGTGGGGGTGGGGGTAAGCAAAAAGAGAAAAAAATCCTTGCCATATTGGAGCTTATATTCTACTGGGGCAAGATCTGCTAAACAAGATAAGCAAACTATAGGTTATGTTAGATGATGATAAGTGTTAAGGAGAAAAAAGTAAAGCAGTTAAGGACATGAGGCATTAGGTTATGGGCTGGTGTGTGACATTTTTAGACTAGATGGCCAGGGAAAACGTCACTGAGAAAAAAAGACCTGAAGGAAAGGAGGCAGTTGAAAATGTGGTGATGTAGGGGAAAAGGCATTCCAGGCAGACAGAACCGCAAGTCCAAAGGCCCTGAGGTAGGAGCAGGACTGTTCCAGGAATAGAAAAGAAGCCAGTATGACTGAAGTAGAGTCAGTCAGAGGAGGGGAGGCAAATGTGGTCTTTTAATCTCTCCTGTGTATCTGTGGAATCATATACACCAGCCATTTCTTGGGGAGTGCTTGTCCCCAGCATCGACTCTAAAACCATGGGTTTCAAATAATTTTTAAAGCAGTAGAGTAGAACCCTTCTTTCAAATAAAACATGAAATGGAATTTCAAGGTAGGAAACCGAAGAGCAGGGGAGGAGTTCTCTGTCATCTCCTACCCACCCGTGCACCCCACTTCGGTTCAAGGCAAACACAATAGAGGAAGATTTGTTCTTCATCGAGCTCAGGTGGAAATCACTGCTCTAGAATCATAGTCCGCTGCTCTGCCTAGAGCCCTGCTGTTCTACAGCACGCTGCTCCAGCTCCAGAAGTAGTCTTGCCTGGCTCCTGTCACTGTAAGGAGACTTTCATAGATGTTTGCTTGCAACGTGGGACTGAAATCAGAGCCTCTCCACTTAGAGCCACCTGGGGATGTGTGGCTCTAATATGTTTAGAGAAATTAGTTCTCTATTCTGAAACTTTTTCCTTAAAAACATTTTAAAAACTTTCTGAAAAGGTAAAACAGGTAAAAGAGACAAAAAATACACTAAAAAAAATCCATGTCCTATGGATAATCAAATTACAGTGTATTTTCAATGACTGCTATACACTTAAGCAAATAAACAAAAATAAGCTACTGATATAGGCAACCAAATGGATGAATATCATAAATGAAATGTTGAGCAAAAGGTGTCGTCCAGACACACAAGTACATATCATACCACCCACGTATATGACGTTCATGAGCTGGCAAAGCTAATCGTTGGTGAAAGAATTTGGAAAAGTGGCCACCTGAGGGGAGTGGAGTAACTTACTGGGAGGATAAAAATGTTCCGTATTTTCATCTGGATGGTGGATACAAGGCGTCGTAGATACATGTATATAAATTCAGAGAGCTGTAAAAATATCTGCATGTTTACTGTATGTAAATAGTAATAGTCAGTCTCTTTTCTACTACCTGTGGCTGCAGCTACCCAGTTCCCCCTCCCTGGAAACCACTCCTCCAGCTGGGGTTTCTCAATGCCCCTTTTCTTTCAGTACCTTCACACCAGGGGTGGAGTCCTGGGAGCACGCCAGGCAGACACCAGAGGCCAAGACTGGAGGTGCTGGGCCGCACCTTGTATGCATGCCCCTTGGCTCTCTCTGGGTCCTTTGGCCCTCTGCTCCTTGCCTCCCTCCTCCTCTTCCTTCTCTCCTCTCTCCCTTCCTTGGAAGGCAGGGGTGGCTGCTGACACTTGCTAAACAGTGCTGTCCCTCCTGGCCCTCCAGGGTGTGCCTGCCTGGGACAGCGGACAGCATGTGCTGATCAAGCTTATCACTGACACATTCCCTCCCTCTTTCATTCTCTCCCTTCTGATCCCTGGACTGATCCTAGAACTTCCTGCTCCCTGGGTACTCAGCCTCCCTGGGCTTCGCTGGTCTCATGCTTCCCTTCTACTGAGCTGTCCTGGTAACAGCTCACTTTGTGTTTGCATATAAAAGGGTCTATCCGAGTGGGTGCTGAGGGCCTGTCTTATCTTTCTTCCACACCCCTATCCCCCACGCTCCCCAACTTCTAGAATAATTCTTTGCCTGTCCTTACGTACACAGGGCTGCAGCCCAGCCAACCATTTTCTCTTATTATCTGAAGTCCTCCCCCTACCACAACTACTCAGTGCCTGAGGGCTGAGGGGCCTGAGTCACCTTCAAGTCAATTAGGCAAGCATTCTTAGAGCTAGGCAGAACATAAAGGGTACTACTACCTGTTTCTCACCTTCAAGAATCTTTTGAAGTGGGGGAAATGGTGCGCATCCCAGGTACAGCTGCAGTTCTTAACCCCATACTTTGTATTAGTCCTTCCTAAGTGCCAGGCACTGACCTGCGTGCCTTTTGTGCATTAAGTCTCTGAATTTTTCAAACAACCCTAGGAAGAGGGTTATTTGCCTCATTTTGGAGATCAGGGAGCTGGAGGCACAAGGTTAGACCCCTGGCATGTGGCTGCCAGGATCTGACCGGCAACTTCCCTAGGGAAACGCCCTATTGACGCTCTAGGGGCATCTCAAGTGGGAGTAGGCGTACAGCTTAGTGGTCGGCCTTGGGGAACCTCTACTTGCGCCACACCCTTTCTGCACAGTTCTTTCCTGCGTCAGGGGCCTGGGAAGGGGCTTAGGGCTGGAGTAAGGTTGGAGACAGGGACTTTGGGAGTGGCAGATACAAAGCTCCGCGTGGCAGACGAGCAGAAGGGCGCCGAGGAACCCGGCCAAAAGAAAGAGGCCCTGCCAGCTCCCGGGGCACTGCAAGTCTCGAGGCGTTGCGAGCAGCGCGGCAGTAGCAAGCCCCAGCGGCGCGCACAAACTGCGCGGAACTACTTCCCCGGCGCGGCCTCGGGGCCGGAGTCCGGACGATAGCCCACCAACACGACGGCTCACCGCGTGGGGCCCGCAGCCCATCGCCGGCACCAGGGCGCGGCCACGTGCGCCCCACTGGGCTCGCACGCTCCGCGGCGCCGGGCGGCGGGGCTACCGGCAGGCACGCGCGCCTCAGCGCGCACACATTCTCGGGCACGCACACCGACGGCCCGGCCCACGTCCACCCAGCCCCCGCCTCTACCGCGCCCCGCCCCCGCCCTCGCGGCGCCGGCCGCCGCCCTCCTATTGGCTGCACGGCGTCTGACGCGCGGCGCCCGGCCCCGCCTCTCGTCAGTCACTCGGCGGAGGCGGTGCTGGCGGGGACTAGTCTCGTCCGGAGACTGGCGGCGGCGGCGGCGGCGGCGGCAGCGGCCGGAGCTCGAGCCCCAGCGGTTGAGGGCGGGCGGGCGCGGGGGAGGGAGGGGGGCCAGTCCGCGACGACTCCCCGGACGGCGTTTCTCCTCCGAGCAGCGCCGGTTTCGGCTTTGGGGGGGACGGGGGTACAGCCCATCCATGACCATGGGCGACAAGAAGAGCCCGACCAGGTACCTCAACGCTCAAGTCCACAAGTCCGCCCGCTTCCTGCGCCCGCCGCGGCCCTTCCCGGGCGCCGCCGCCGCCGCCGCCGCCTGCTCTGAGAGGCAGCAGGGCCCGGGCGCGGAGGTTGCAGGGTGCCGGTGGGGGCGCCCCTTCCCCTCCCTGGCCCGTCTTCTAGTCCTCGAAGAGGGTGGGTGGGTGGGTGGTCGCCTGAGCGAAGTTTCTAGCGCTGGATTCCTGCGAAATTACGACGGCTCACCAGCGCCTGTGTTTTGCTGTCTCTCCCCCTTTTTCCTGCTCCCTGTCTCTTCCCTCCCCTTTCTCCCACTCCTCCGAAGGCCAAAAAGACAAGCAAAACCTGCCGCAGATGAAGGCTTTTGGGATTGTAGCGTCTGCACCTTCAGGAACAGCGCCGAAGCCTTCAAATGCAGCATCTGCGATGTGAGGAAAGGCACCTCCACCAGGTACCTAAGATCTGTGTTAGCTTTTGTTAAAGGACTTTTTTTTTTTGTAAAGGTGGGGGTGAGGGTAGGAAGCTGTACTTTTCTGCCTTTGCAACTTGTTGATTACGGCTTTTCCTGCATTTGGGGAGGGTGGGTGGGTGATTTGCGGTTTTGGTCGTGTGAATTTCATGTTGGGTGCAAAGCCTCATGTTCACTGAATGATTTATGGGAGGGAATTTTTCCAGGTTTTCGTCTTATTTCAGACACTAGTTTATTTGACATTATCCATTGGTTTTTTTGGTATTGGCTCAAAAAGAGGAAGCAGTACTTTTGCTGTGGATTCTAGGACATTAGACCTATTATTTTTGCCATGTGCGGGGCTGTTTTTAATTTGCCTGTCTTGAATTATTTTTCTTTTCCTTGAGAAATTTAATGGTGTTTGTTCGGTAATCCTGGTTGTTGTGCCTTTCCTGTCTTGAGATGCAAATGTCTGTTTTCTTGCACTCGAAAATAAACGTTTGGGGTTCGATAAAGAAAGTGCATTTTTTGATAAGCCTGGGCTGTCAGTTTTGTTTCTGTTTTTTCCTTATCTTATGCTGAGTAGTGATAAGGACGATTTTGCAAAATGGTGAAATGAATAGTATGACTATTGAACTTTGTGTTGAAAGCTTTATTGTAATGAAAAGAATGTTGAAATAATTCCTTTTCATTTTGGCAAAGGTAGCAAACTGCATCTGGTATCAAAGTGAGTTCAACTACTCCAGATTTAACATTAAGATATACTCGAGTAAAATGTGAAGAGTTGGTTTTGTAGTCTGTCATTTTAACTTGTACCTGGAATTTTAGTGATGCTAGAGTCTGAAATGAAACTATTCTTGATGTCATTCAATGGGCAGGCATTGGGTGTGTGTGTGTGTGTGTGTTTGTGTGAAAAAAAAGCCACAGTATGGGTGAGTTCCTCCTGGATCCTTGAAGACTTAAAGTTGATTGCCAAAAGTCTTGTTTTACGTCTACCTGTTTTTGAATTGGTGACATTCCAGTATGACTGTTGTAGTGCTCTGTAGTTCTAACTGGATATTGTTCTTTGACTAAATGAATGTGTCCTGTTAGGGTTTCATTGCGTTATTTATACCTGGGATTAAATAGTATATTGTGCAACCTAAAGAATATAACTGGGATGAATTGGTACAATTACTGGTGGAACAGTTCTGTGAATTCCACCGACTTTAAATAATGTGCCCTTTGAATAAAAGTATTAAAGAGCTAAAAATATTTCCCCATAGTTTAAAGTAGATTAGTGTCATTTTTTTGTTATTGAATAGTTAAAATAAAAAACGCCATTAAGAGTGTAATAGATTTTATTTTGCTATCTAAATTAAAACAGGGAATTCCATCAAGTGGCATGAGAGTTTATCTTATGCTGAGTAGTGATAAGGACGATTTTGCAAAATGGTGAAATGAATAGTATGACTATTGAACTTTGTGTTGAAAGCTTTATTGTAATGAAAAGAATGTTGAAATAATTCCTTTTCATTTTGGCAAAGGTAGCAAACTGCATCTGGTATCAAAGTGAGTTCAACTACTCCAGATTTAACATTAAGATATACTCGAGTAAAATGTGAAGAGTTGGTTTTGTAGTCTGTCATTTTAACTTGTACCTGGAATTTTAGTGATGCTAGAGTCTGAAATGAAACTATTCTTGATGTCATTCAATGGGCAGGCATTGGGTGTGTGTGTGTGTGTGTGTGTGTGTGAAAAAAAAGCCACAGTATGGGTGAGTTCCTCCTGGATCCTTGAAGACTTAAAGTTGATTGCCAAAAGTCTTGTTTTACGTCTACCTGTTTTTGAATTGGTGACATTCCAGTATGACTGTTGTAGTGCTCTGTAGTTCTAACTGGATATTGTTCTTTGACTAAATGAATGTGTCCTGTTAGGGTTTCATTGCGTTATTTATACCTGGGATTAAATAGTATATTGTGCAACCTAAAGAATATAACTGGGATGAATTGGTACAATTACTGGTGGAACAGTTCTGTGAATTCCACCGACTTTAAATAATGTGCCCTTTGAATAAAAGTATTAAAGAGCTAAAAATATTTCCCCATAGTTTAAAGTAGATTAGTGTCATTTTTTTGTTATTGAATAGTTAAAATAAAAAACGCCATTAAGAGTGTAATAGATTTTATTTTGCTATCTAAATTAAAACAGGGAATTCCATCAAGTGGCATGAGAGTTTAGAAATGTATTTGTTATTTAAAGCAATAGTGATTGTATTTAATTTATGAGTAATGTTTTTTTACATGTAGAATCCCTCAGAGGCCAAACCTCTTTATTGTGGTTTTGCTTTGAGTGTTACCGTAGATGATGTTCAAATAAATGACTAGGAAACTCCTAAACTTGAGAGAACTTTACTGGTGAAGAGAAACTTGAACCAAATTCAGAAGTTTACATCTGATGCATTGCTGGGAATAATTATCTTATAGGGAAATGCATTTAATTTCCTATATGTATTTTTAAAAAATCTGACTTATTCAGCTTTTTGCAAGCACCTGGAAAGTTTTCACTTTAAAAACAATATAGATGCTTAAAGTTTTTTCAGAGTCACAGATGATAACAGTGAAATTCAGTTTTTTAAACAAATAAATTGTTACTAATGAAAATATTTTAGAGTCTGTTCAGGAACAGGATGCCCCACTGCTATCTTTAAGGGTCTTCATGTAGTTTTTTGATGTCTGTTGTTGAGTAGGATTTCTGCACAGATGTCAGAGATCTGAGAACTTAAGCTCCTGTCACCTCTTGATACACTTAAATAGCCAGGATTGTTTCGTCTTGGTTCTTGTCAGTTCTTTGCTGTTTTAGATTTGTCTTAGAAGTCATTATTAATCGGAAGGCAAGTAACATTTTGGCTTTCTCATGCTAGAAATGGCCTTCCTGTGGGAAGGTATCCCATCCAGTGTGGTAACGGTTGGGTTAGATTTCTCTGTGGTACTAGTTGATACTAATTAATGCAGGGCTTTCTCCCTGGGCCTTTTTCTTGGTACCTCAAAGGTTGAACTTTCTGCCTTGCATGGTTTTAATCAGACTTGATATTGATGGCAGTAGAAAACTTGCTAGGTTTTAGATGCTGGGTAATGAGTAAAAATTTGTGACTTTTGAATTATTTTTAAATAATGAAAGGGCTTAAATTGGGTTTTATTGCCCAGAGCTCATGTTTGGTATTACAGCAGCCTAGCTGGTTAGCTACCCAGTAATCGATTTGGAGTTTCCATCTGTGTCACTGTTGCCATTTACCAGTCAACCAAAGGAGTCAGCTTTGGTTAGTGTTAGTCCAGTGGGACATAAAACTGTGTTTATCCTTTGAGGATAGAAGTGATATTCCTCACTTTCAGTGAGAAAGTATTGCCATTCCTCCAGAGGACTTTTGTTAAATTACTAGGATGTGAAAGGTACTGCTCAAGAGTAGGGAGGAGAGGAGGGTGTTAAAAGATTGGTAGAACATGTGCTGGAATGACCAAAAAGAGAGGTAAAATAAAGTGCTATAGGGGGTAGGAGCGATCTGGATAGAGAATCAAAGAAGACTCCCCCCCATCTCCAGTTTTCCTTGTCCAGAGAAAATTGATTTCTACAAAATCACCTGCCAACTTTTCAACTGTTAACTGTTGTGTATGTACCACATATATTTAATTCTGCAGGTGGAATCATGAAAATGATTCAAAAGGTCTTCATTTTCTGAGCAACATAAAGCAGAATGAAAGGAAGGTCAGAAGCTGTTAGGAACATGTGAAAGGAAGAAGGAGGGGGACACTTAACAGGCTACTTGGAGGGTCAGGGGACAGTAGAAATCTTTATTTTGGATGTAATATCAATTATATATTGGGTCTCTGGCTTATTAAAGTATAATTTACATACCATAATCTTAAAGAGTTGTGCAGCCATCACCACAAACCAGTTTTAGAACATTTCTACTGTATCACATGGTTTCCTCATACCTGTTATGTGATATACTTCTACATCCTTAACATTAGAGCATGGAGGAGTCACCTGCAGCTGGGAAGGTTCCCTCCACACCATGCTGATGGACTGTAAGCCTTTCAAGGTAGAAAATAAAGGAGTGTGTAAGTAAAGTGGCGATGGGTGGGGAAGAAACACTATCCCTTTCCTAGGTGATAGCTAACATACTATTTCCCAACCCATTTTGCCAGTCCCATGAAAGAGGATACTAGCTTTTAAGAGAGAGACCAAAAATCCCACAAATTCACAAATTTACCTAACAGTAGATTATTGAGTGTTGGGCAGAGTAACTTAATAGACTTGGCAAGAAATATATTTTACTTTTGGTCTTCTTATTTCTCTGAATGCAATGATATCTTTATTGTCAGATAAAAATTACCAAGACTTTGCTGCAACTCTTTGATTAGTGGTTCCTTAATAATTAATATTCCATTTTGACCTTCAGCTACTGTTTAAATTACACTTAAAAAATTGGAAGATTTTTGCTTTGGATGATTGTATCAAAGATTTAGAACTTTTCTAGTCTTCAACTCCAGATTTTGTCATGGTGTTAAGTCAAAATATGTTTTCTTCAATTCCAGTTCATTTGACTATTCTATCCCTTTGAGAAGTGTTGTGTTTTTAGAGCTTTTACTGACAAGTAAAAGTGAAGAATTCACTTTTCACTGTGTAATAAGATTATGTAGCTTAAAAAAACTTGGTACTTGGGATGTTGAATTGGAAGTTGGCCCTCAGTTGTTTTTTTGTGTGTAAAACATTTTCCTTCTTCAGAAATTCCCTTATTCTTTGCAGTTGTAGCTTTGGACTTTTTCTTCTCCCTTTAAGTTTAGATACATAACAACTCAAAAACCTCAGGAGTAGTCATGAAGCATTTTAGAAATTTTAGAGAAAGACACATAATCAGTGATAATGTGGAAGTTTTCATCTTCTCTGGAAGCTTCAAAAGGTTATCATCCTGTGATACTTTCCAGATAGGGAAAACTCCCAAAAGTAGAGGGCATACCTAACAT